TATAGATATATTCATATATTGCAAGCATAAAAAATATGCATTTATTTCTAATATGAAATAAATATAATTAAAACTTTTATTGAATCGGATTACGACTGTAGAATTTATAATAGTAATTTTAATAATTACAATAAAAATAAGTCTATTTATATCACGTTTTTTCTTTGAGGAAAATAAATAAATAATTACAAATTACCTGGACAAAATTTTGATTGATTAAAATTAGATAAAAAAAATGAACATTTATATTTTTTTATTTTAATAAGAAAAAAACTTGTAAAAATATAAAAAAAATAAAATTAAAAAATTAATATTTAAGTTAAAAATATTAATTATTTATTTTAAAATCAAATAAAAATGTCTGTGACTTTATACAACAAAAAAAAAAGAAGATAATCATAAATTGTTTTAATTTTAAGTTCAAATATTTATAATTGCAATTTAATAAGAAGAAAAATTCAATTTTTTAATATATATATATATATAAAATTAAAATTCTAGATTATTCTATTAATTAAATAAATAAAATAATATTTTAAATAATGGTCTTTTTCAAAAAGAAGACACCAATGCATAGATGTTCCTCTTGAAAACTTCAATGCGTAGGTCATTTCCATGACAATCGCTATTAAAGTAATTTATTTTTTCCTTTTTTTAATTTAAAATTTAAAGAAAATTACTTACATTCCACACAATTATTAAAGATTTATATAACCATAACCTAAAATTCGATATTCACATCTATAACATCTTAATCTTATACATTTAAACATTTAAAATATAAATACATATATTTCACTTTTTAAAAATTAAAAACAGCTATATTTTTTTTTTATTATAAATATATCCATTATGTATACAAACATAAAAGTTCAGATATAAAATATATAAATACATAAAATTTATGAGGTAGATTTTTTTTTTTTACATTAATTTTAATTTTTCTCACATTATTTTCAACCAATATGATGTACTAAATTTTATTTCCACTTTTTTTACTTACTTAATTAAAATACAAATACGATCCTTCTTAAAATTTATCATTAATAAAAAATCCTCAAATTTTTAGAAAATTAAAAGAAATGCAAAAACTTCTTTAAATGTGCATTTGAATATATAGACCGGTTCCCCAACTCCTTGGAACCTCTACACACCAGCCGCATCTCCTCCTCTAGATGGAATCTGACGGCAGGAAATCCTTCGGGACCTTCCCCGTCCACTCTCCTCCCCATTCCGACGGCCTCAGCCTCTCCCCCCGCCGCCCCTCCATGGCAATTTCTCTCTCCCCGCCACAGCATCAGCCACACGCCGCCGCAACATCCACCCCCTTCTCTCCACTACCATTGCCTCATCTCCCTCCACCGCCAAGACGGCAACATCCACGCCATTGCTCTCGCCGCGAGAGGCCGGCTTGTTCTCACCGGCTCCGACTCGGACCGGGTTCGGGCCTGGCGCCAGCCCGGCCTCGAGTACGGCGGCTTGCTGCGCACTCGAAGGCCACGTGTGCGCGCTCTATTGGCCCATGGAGAAGTGCTGTTCACGGCTCACGCTGACCGGAGAGTGCGAGTTTGGTCGGTGGAGAAGGCGTCGGGGTCGGCGTCGGCGTCTTCCGGAGCACGGTGGCGGAAGGTGGCGACGCTTCCGCCGAGGAGGCTGCGTGTTTCGCTTTTCCGGCGACGACAGGTGGGGTTTGAACCTAATGTTCCTTTCGAGTCCATTTACTGTCATACATTGATCTTTTCGAAATGTCTTTGAGTTCGAAATATTTTTTATTTATAAAAATTATATAATAATACAAAATACAATTCAATATATCGAGTCAATCTTCAGCTAGAAAGTATCCAAATAACTCAATTTGAGTCGGTGGGTTTGGATTTTGAGTCAATTTCAATCTAAAATATATCCAAATAACTCAATTTGAGCCAGCTTGTTTCGATTCGAGCCAGATCGAGCTAATTCTATTTCGAGCGAGCAAATATAACATGTCGAGCCAATTTCGAGCCGTGCTCAATCCAATTGAACCGACCCCAACTGAACCCAAAATTGGATCAGAAAACCCCTCCTTTCTTTTAATTTGTGAAGCCAATATTCCTAGCACTTACATACATACCCCCCGATTCCTATCTATTTACATATCATACACCTAAATTTTACTTTTTTACATTTATGCCACCCACATCATTTATATCACAATAAAATTAACATTATTTTGACTTTTTAAAATTGGATTACACCTCTAAAATATGGATAAGATATCATAAATGTAAAAGTTGAAGTTTTAGGCTAGATACGTAAGTTCATAAGAATTAAGTGGTATTGATGTAAATCTTTCTATCGTTTATGAAGGTGAAATCAAATTATTAGTTGGAGCGTGATTTCCGTTCATTTTTTTCACCCAAAAAAAAAAACCTGAGCAGAAATATAAATTAAATTATTATTTTAAAAAAAAACTATATACGGACAAGATAATTTGTATAGATCTATATATTTAATATTTGAATTTATATTATTTTTGTATTCTAAATTTACTCTTCAAAATTTAATTTTATTTTTAAAGTATAATAAAAATAATTTTATTATGGCATTATTGATTTGGGTGTTACATAAATAAAAAATTAAAATGTTCCATATATAAATATATAATAACCGTGTGGCACGCATGCAAATGCCCCCATATTTATGGGAGCATGAATTAAGCAATTATTGTTATAAATATCATGTATTGCCATTTATATTTAGTATTTATTAATGATTTAGGGGGCACGTGCTCACATTTATTCACATTAAATTGTCCTGTCAAACAACAATTATCCATAATCCTGTTGATTTTTTAAATAAAGTTTATTTTGGCAGGACCGGGTGCAGCAACAACACCGTGAGGACATCTCCTGCTTGGCTCTATACACCGCTGGGCAGCTTCTGTACACCGGGTCTTGGGACAGCACCGTGAAAGCGTGGCATGTGGGGGACGGCACGTGCGTAGACTCCTTCGTGGCGCACGAGGGGAGGGTGAATGCGGTGGTGGTGGGGCAGGATGACGGCGGCGTGTTCACGGCGGGTGCGGACGGGTGCGTGAAAGTGTGGCGGAGAGTGTACGGCGAGAGTGCCCACGCGTTGACCATGGTTCTAAGGTTTCAGGCCTCGCCGGTCAATGCCCTGGTGGTCGGCGGCGGAGGTGGAAGTTATGTGTATTCTGGATCGTCGGATGGGTATGTGAATATCTGGGAGAGGGAGGCGGCTACAGGAAGGTACCACCATGGCGGGTTCCTCCAAGGCCACAGGTATTTGAATACATGAGAAACTTTCTTATAGGATGTCTTCTATTTAAATTTGTTTAAAAATCATTGTAATTTTTAAACAAATAATATATCAACATAATTACATAAATATATTTAAAGCTTATTGTGCACACAAAGACAAGTATAGGGGTGTTTATTGCTAAAATTCTCTCACTTAATTGAACATAACTGTTGAAGTGGCTCAATCAAGTTTGTTTGCCTAAATGGTTGAATTGAGTTGACTTGTCTAAGTGGCTTAATCCAGCCCACTTATAGAAGTGGCTAAATTGAGCACATACACCGAAGTGGCCGAATCAAGCCCACTTGTCGAAGTGGTTGAATCCGACCACTTATAGAAGTGATTGCATCGAGTCCACCCATTGAAATGGATGAATCAAGCCCACTTGTTGAAGTGTCTGAATCCAGCCCACTTGTAAAAATGTTTGAATCGAGTCCACCTATCAAAGTGGTTGAATCAATCTCACGTGCCTAAATGACAACCTAACCCACCCATGCAAGGGTAGCTATCAGTCGAAACCATTATGGCTGGACAAAAGTCATCATGGCTAAAGATTACAGATGGAGTTTGTAACTCAGAGAATGAAATACTGTACCAGGGAGTTTGTAACTTAACAAATCGATGGCCTAAGAGAGCTAATGAGAGAGGAAATGCACAAAATGATGGAAGCATCCCCGATGCATTCTCGAAATAGAACACATACTCAATCGTCAAGATAAGTGACTTGCAACCAAAATCCATTGAGGATAGGAGCCACGCCACAACAAGAACTGTCAAGACAAGAGGCACTGAGACAAGAACAACCGAGGCTAGAGCCACATGCTCAAGATCTTCCACGAGATTCGAGCTGCAAAGTTCTTGAAGGGTGCTCTTCTCATAAGTAAACACAAATTAAGTCTTCCACTTTTGAATCTTGTTGGGATATATTTTCATATCAAAGATCAAAACTCTCAATACTGAGAGTAGTTAATAGGCATGGTTGAGCTTATTTGAGATTGCACGATCGTGCCACTTTCTAAACTCCATGTATAACGCCAACTCCAAATGAAGTTGGGAACCTCCTTTTGAGGTACGTTATAGAAACCAAATCCCCAAAGGTTGATTGAAGAGATCTTCTGAAGAAGTGTCTGTAAGTCAATTCCAACTTGACTATAAGGAGTTGGATCATATGGGTTGTCTGCTAGGGGAATACTCTCAATGTAACAGAGAGAGTGATTGTTTCGTCAGCATTCATTGGTTGATTCTTAAAGTTATAGAGAGGTCCAACAGTAGACTACAACTTTTCCTTAATCAACCCAAGTTAAGGGAAATTTGAGTTAATAAGACGTTAACTAAACTTTCTCCATCAGTATTCTCTAAACATTATAAAAAGGATCACCGATCCAAACGCTTACAACATTAGGATCTTGGTGAAAGACTTGAACTCTTTCAAGATTAGATTCATCAAATGTGGTGGAGTGGCTAACTCAGGATTTTTTTGGTAAAAGCTTCTCACAGGCTTCTACATTTGGCTTTAACAGAGGTGGTCACTTTGGAGTTTTCTTATCTCGTGTATACTCCTTGTTGCTTTGAGATTCACATCTTTGTGGTCGAGGAGGCAAATCACGATTTTCTCGCTATTTGAACATTTTCTATTGAAATGACTAAGCAGTATCTTTATTTATTTTTTGAAGTTTTAATTAAGAAAAAAAATGTTCAATTCACATAACTAATTGTTTATTTGATATTTTCGTTCTACCTTTATTTTTAATAAATTCATCAAACAAATAGCAACAAATTTGGTTCAAGAATATAAATGATTAAACAAGTCATTGATTTTTTTATGTACTTATGTTGATGCCCCCCCACATATGTTATTAGAGCACTCATGAAATTATATATTGATGAAAACAGGTATGCGGTGCTATGCCTGGCGGCGGTGAAAAGGCTGATCCTGAGCGGCTCAGAAGACACGACGATAAGAGTATGGAGAAGAGAAGAAGGCAGCGGCTTCCACGTGTGCTTGGCCGTGATGGAAGGCCACCGTGGGCCCGTTCGGTGCATTGCGGCGGCGGTGGAGAGTGAGATGATCGGGGCGGAAGGTGGGATGGGCTTATTGATCTACAGCGCCAGCTACGACAGAATGCTCAAGGCCTGGAGGTTAAAGGTGGCGGCGGAGAATCAGGAGAAGGAGAAGAGGAAAACGGCGGGAGATGAAGAAGCAGAGAAGGAGGAGGAGGAGGAGGAGACGCGTTCGCCGTCGCTGAGGATGGAGGGGGAGGGGCATGGGATGACTCCGGTGTTGTCGCCGCTGTGGGTGGAGAAGAGGCTGAGAGAGATACACTTGTGTTAATTACTTGGTTATGGGAGCCAAACTCTGATTTTTCCTATTATGTTACGTCATTTAATTTTGTTAATTTAAGATTTGTTTGATGAGAAAATATTGTGAGTCCAACGAAATCACTTCACGTGAAGGTGACGGAAAAAAAAAAAATTTAACACAAGAGAATATTCTCGTGTATTATTCTGCATTGTTCAGGTGTTATTATGATGATATTTATGTATTATTATGTTTTGGGAATATTCTCGGTGTTATAATAACACAATAACAAATCAATACCACCACAATAACACCTGAATAATGTCGAATAACACCGGAGGAATATTTCATTGTATTACTCGGCCAGATCACAAAAAAATTAGTTTTTTTTTTCTTGTTAGCTCCTTGTGAAGGTGATTCATTGGATTGCAGACGCATCTCTATATCCGGAGTCTGAACTTTATAATTTTCAGACAATTGACGCAATGCATGGAGAGGACAGTTTTTTTTTTTTTTTTTGTTATTGTGTCTGAAATCCGAACGCAATATTTTTTCTTGTTTGGGTGTCTCTCTCCTTTTATAGAAGTTACATTAAAAAAAATACTAGAAAAAACTTGAGTATAAAGTTGAGGTTCATAAAATGATATTAATATCAAATTATTGTGTGTCCAATTTAGCACAGTTTGACAGTTACTTAAATTTTAATATAAAAGAGTATCACAACAATAATATTTTAAAATTATAACTATCATATTTACTACTATTAAATTATTTATAAAAAAAAATTTAAATACGACTAAATTGAATTTAACGAATCTATTTGCCGCTAAATCCAGTATAGTATTCAGTTTAGTTAAAACTAAATCCATTAAATTGATTTGATATTCAGGTGTCGTCAACAAATGTTCACCATTCAACATGGATCTTGAGGTATGACATGAATGTCGATGCAACTTTTCAGCAAGAAATATTGAAACTTTAATTAAAAGTCATCCAGAACTTCGATTTTGGCTAAATTACAGTCAAACTGACTGTCTTGATGAGACAGACCCAATGACACTAAAATTGGTCGGGTCTAAGTCAAATCAAACCCATATTAAGGTGTTAAATCACTTTTAGAAACTTTTCGAGTATAGTTGAATGGTGAAACAGAATTTGAATATAGCAAAATTATAGTCAAATCGAGTGTCTCGGCAAGGCAAATCTAAGGATCCAAGATTGTTCAATTCTGATATCATTACGACATTCAAATGTTCATTGAATATCGTTCGATCAAGGAGATCTCACATGGTCGTCAGATCACAGTGGTATGCATTCCTTTCTTATTTGCAACTTGGACTCTATAAATAATCATACCTTTTATTGAGAAAATGAGATATTGTGCAAGAGGAAGACTAGAGCCTAAAGAGTTGGGAGCTGAAGTCCATGACCCTATTGTTGAGTGATCTAGATATACACCAGTTGATCTGGTATATATATAAATCAAACAGGAGAACAATCGATAAAGCGAAAAAATAGAACGAGAAAAATTCACACTATAAAACAGAAAAACCACAGTGGAACACAAAGATTTACATGGTTCGGCAAATTGCTTACATCCACGGAGTTACAGAGGATTTTACTACTTGAGGAATTTACATCAGTCGATCACCTCGACTTACAACAGGAATCTCTCACTTCGTTGCTCTCTCCCTTCTTCTCTCTCTGTTTTTCTCTCTCTACACCGAGATACACCGAAGAAGACAAACTCACAAGAGAAATAAACTTAATTTCTCTTCTGTCACAAGCCACCAAGAAGAAGCCTAGGGAGAACAATCTTCTTCTTTTTCCTTTTTCTTCCTTCTTTCTTCTACTGCAAGAAATTACTCCTCCTTGCACCTCTCTTCCACTGCCCGTGGAAGCCCGAAGAACCCTTCCTCTATCTTGAGGAAACCGAAGAACTCAAAATATGACTTAGAACCAAAAAAGGAGAGTCGTCTGAAGCTTTTATTGAGAATAGGAAGGAGACGTCGCGAATATTTGTGAAATGGGAGCGGGAACAGTTTGCGAACTGTAAATGAGCGGGAGCGGGAGCGGGATCAGGATCGCGTTGATTTGCGGTCGAGCAATGCGGGAGCGTAACAAAGGAGCGTGAGTATGAATCAGTTTCAACGGATCGGTCTCCAGCATAACAAATCTCCCACTTTGAGACCAGTACATAGATTGCAACATATTCTTCCTCGAATTGATATCCTCCACTAACGGTGTCGCCATTTTTCCTTCAACATGAATTCTCCACTGTGAATTATCCACCTCTGCAATTAAAAGCCTTTGTCTTCACTCCAGAAGACCAACTGAAGTTGTGCACACCTTCAGTTTCTCAAGAGTAATACCCTCAGTCAGCAGGCTCCACAAAGCTTTGCGCCTCCAAGCTATTTCTTGGGTTACTCTTGTCTCTCTTACAACTCTCACTGCATGGGCAACATCCTACCTCTGCTGAAAGCATTTTTTAACAAGTCTAGCCTTGTAGCTCTTACCGACATCACACTCAGTCTTCACCTGGTACACCCACTTATTGTGCAATGTCTTCTTCCCTGATGAAAGTTCTGTCAGCTCCTACTTGCCTGAACTTTCATCTTGCAAGATTTCTTCATAGCTCTGTGGCTCTTCAACGTCTATCTATGGAACAATATGAATGAGTGCCCTGGACCACTTTCCTCTTCACTTCCATCACTACCCTGCACTGTGGCTTCTAGTAGATTTCCTACCACATTCAAAGCCTCTGAATCCAACATTAAGTCTTCAACAGAACTATGAACTGCCAGCAGTAGTGCATCCTGTGATTCTTCAGATACCACATTTGAGCTATCATTCTCCATCTTTTTGGGATTCCTGCAGTTTCTTCTTATGTGGCCAACCTTGCCACAATTCCAACAGATTGTCTACTTACTAAATTTTGATTTTGATCTCCCTATACTTGAGTTTCGGTCATGTCATCTCCCTCTAAAATCAGCATTCAATGTCAAACTCCAACCTGAAACCTCGCCAGAATCTTTCCTGCGAACTTCCTCAGCCAAAATCAAATCACGAATATCATTGTATTTCAGTTTAGATTTAGCTGTAGAACTGCTAACTGCTATCATTATTGCTTACTAACTATCTAGCAATGAAGCCAACAAGATCAGTGCTCATATCTCATCATCAAAATCAATTTTCACAAACAACAATTGATTTGTGATAGTATTGAAATCATTTAGGTTTTAAGTAACAGAAACACCTTATGCCATCTTCAAATTGAATAATTTCTTCATCAAGTGCACCTTGTTATTCACTGATGGCTTTTCATACATACCTAATAAGGCTGCCATGAGATCTGCAGTCGTCCTTTCCTTGACGATGATGTGTGTAACAGACATCGATAGGCTCAATTGAATAATCCCCAAAACTTGTCGATCCAACAAATTCCATTCAACCTCATCCATACATTCAGGTATTTTCCTCAATAACGGAAGATGGAGTTTCTTCCCATAAATATAATCCTCTATCTGCATCCTCTAATAACCAAAATCTGTGCCATCAAATTTCTCGATCCCCGAAAGCTTAACTTCATCTGCAACCAATTTTCTTCCTCAGATCTGAACCCACGCTATGATATCAATTGTTGTTGTGTGATTTAGATATACACCAGTTGATGTTGTATATATATAAGTCCATAGGAGAACGATCGACGAAGCGAAAAAATAGAACGAGAAAAATTCACACCATAAAACAGTAAAACCACAGTGGAACACAGATTCACGTGGTTCAGCAAATTGCCTACGTCCACGGAGTTACAGAGGATTTTACTACTTGAGGAATTTACACCAGTCAATCACCTTGACTTACAAGAGGAATCTCCACTTCGTTACTCTCTCTCTCTTCTTCTCTCTCCGTTCTTCTCTCTCTATATCGAGATATACCGAAGAAACTCTACACCGAGATACACCGAAGAAGACAAACTCACAAGAGAAATAAACCCAACTTCCCTTCTGCCACAACCACCAAGAAAAAGCCTAGGGAGAACAATTTTCTTCTTCTTCAATCTTCTTCCTTCTTCTTTCTTCTACCGCAAGGAACAACTCCTCCTTGCACCTCTCTTCCACTGCCCCGTGGAAGCCCGAAGATCCCTTCATCTATCCCGAAGAAGAACTCAAAATATGACTTAGAACCAAAAAAAGAAGAGTCATCCGAGGCTTTTATTGCGAACAGGAAGGAGACATCGCGACTATTCGCAAAATGGGAGCGGGAACAGTTCACAAACTAAAAACGAGCGGGAGCGGTCATGGGCTTTCGCGAAAGGGAGGCGGGATCATGATCTTGTCGATTCGCGATCGAGCAGTGCGGGAGCGTAAGATGTTACGAAGGTTCGCGACATAGGAGCGTAAGCGTGAATCGGGTTGGGCGGACCGGTCTCTAGCATAACAGACCCTACGCCGACGATCTGACGAACCCCTTTTGATTCTGCAGCCCCCAACGACCATCAACCACTGCTCGTCCGTCGCCGCCGAGCATCGACAATCTCCTACTTCTGCAACTACCTACCACAATCAACCATCACTCTCCGGCTGCAGCAAACCACAATTGGCCTCTTGTTCCGACAACCACCAATCACGATTGAGCATTGCATGTTGGCCATTGCAGACCATTGTTGGCCTCTCGCTCCCACAGTTGCCGACCACTATTGACCACAACTCGTCGACCACCACCACTTGCTCCTAACGACGAAGCACCTCAAAAAGTAACAACTGACATTGCATAGTCACAAAACAACCCACGAAGTGTCACAAACTATACATAAGGGTCAAATATAAAAAAAAAATATTAAGAAAATTAAAAAACATATAAAGATGCAAGGAGAAATGACAAACTAACATGAAAAAAACCTTAGATCACTTAGGGAATTTGTCAACACCACACTTCTACTTGATTAGTTAATTATTCAAACTAGTTATAGGGGCAGGTAGAATCTTTGAGGTCAATTATATTTACTATAGTAGTGATGTATTCAATGTCTAAGCCATTTGACAAGGCCTATGCGCTTATAGAGGACATGACTACTAAAAAATTTCAATGGTCACTTAAGAGAGAAAAATCTAGAAGAGTAGACTGCTTTCATGAGCAAAATATACTCGCATTATCTAGAAAGATAAACAAATTTAGAATAAATTCAATGCAAAGACCACTAATAAGTGAATATAGTGCTTATGGACAATTTGAAGATTATAATGTTACATAAATGTACTCCCTAACTATTACAAACAATAGAATCAACAACCCTTATTCCAATTACTATAATCCATAATAGAGGAATCATCTAAATTTAAATTGAAATAACAATCAAAATATAAGAAATTAGCTATGATTTGTAACCAACAAAATTACTTATATAATTGAGACAATTATGGTAGTAATTTCTCTAACTCAAACAGTGCTAGTTATCTTCCCGGATTCATCTCAAATGCTCAATCTAAGGAAAACAATTTTTTGAAAGATTGGGCGCTCTAAATGAGAAATCATATAAATAATCAAGCTATGACTATTAGACACATTGAAACATAATTAGAACGATTAACTAACTCATTGAGTTATAGACATAAGGGATATTAACAAAAAACACTGAGGTAAATCCCACAGGTCAAAATATAGAACACTGTAACCCAATTGAAAAGTCAAAAAGAGTTAGAAAGATTGACTAATGATGAGGATAGATTAGAAGAACCAAGTCCTTAGTCTAATAAATGAATTGAATATCCTTTAGAAAACTTAGAAATAGAGAGACTTGTTAGGAAAGTTGTAGAGATAACACCACCATCTTATCATATGAGATTAATTACACAAAAATTAGATCAACAAATTTCCTGATTCCTAGAAGTGTTATAAACCTTAAAATTAAAAGCTTACTACAGCTTTATCCGCACATAGATATCAAAACAAAAATCTTATTAGTCTAACATTGCAATTTGTGTAAATATACATACAGTAGTAGATTTTTTTTTGCAGTACGTAGAAATTAGGTGTACGTCGAGTAGGGCTATGAATTTAGCTCGAACAATGATAATCGATCAGATATTAATTTGATGGTTGTCTCATACATAAAACTCATATCGAAATAAACAAGCCGATCTATGAGTCAAAATTTTGGATCGAATTTCTTTCTATCTCACATCAGCTCAACTCGAAATCGAATAATTAAACATTCTAGTGATGTTAGTCTGTCGAAGATCATTAAATGGTGGAACATTGACACGAAAAACATCATAACGTAATCAAATATGAATTAACATATAGTTAAAATTAATATTCATTTTTTTCGGCATTTTATTATATTCATGTTAAATCCATTAAGGCACATTCCTCTAATATTATATATCACTGTAGCTAAACCAACCTTCTGACGGACATATTTGTTACGTATTTTATCTCCAATATAAGAATAATCATAAACTTAAGCATTCAGGATGGATTGCATGGCACATGGATGGTTGGGGAAAGCAAGGACCTGACAAGTTGGGGTTGGGTGTTTCTATTATAAATGTTCGCCGAATTTGAAGATATTATATCAATGCCCCTCAAGCAATCATGTATGATTATGCATGTTCTTTGAGTTATATTTTGCAACCATATTAGGCCGCGCATCAGATCAAGCAAGTAGTCACGAATAGTTTTATCAGTTTCCATGTTAACTACAGCACCCGTACTCGTAAGGTGGTACCGTTGGAAATTGCAGCTGTCTGCCAGATTTAGCATTAAAGAATGTGAAGATTTATATACGTACCACTTAATTTATGTATTTACATATCTAATTTCATAAATGATACCTTACATATTCATGAAAGGATGTGATGCGCCTATCTCAATATATGATACGGATCACGAGATATTCTTTCGAATAATAAAAATGCAATCTGCTTGACGAGACGAATCCATTCATACTAAAATTAGTCTAATGCAAGTCAAATCAAGCTCAAATTAAACTAATAAATCTTATTTTGAAGCTTCTGAACATATTTGAAAGGTCAAATAAATACTGAATCTGACAAGTTTATAGTCGAATCGAGCGTCTCAACAAGAAGAATCCAACAAGTTTAAGCTTGTACAATTTCTACATCATTAAAGAACTCAAATATCCATCAAAGACTATCTGATCAAATGAAGTTTTTCGGATTGTCTGATCAAAGTAGTTCATATTTTTGTCTTAATTGCATCTGAGACTATATAAATAGAGTCGTTCTCTTTTCTTGAAAAAAAGAAGATAACTTAAGGCCTGTGGAAGAGCTTAAAGGTTTGAGAATGAGCTGAAATTTAGCATTACTCCTGCCATCGTCGACCACGCAGCCGACTATCGTCGACCACCACTTGACGGCTTAAGCCCACTTCCTTTGACAGCTTCATTTGTGCGTCGATGTTGTAACTCGAGAGACCTTGTAACCCTTTCTCGCTTCTGGAACAAGTACTTGTAACTATAATCAACATTTTATAGTGAGACTCTTCAGCTGGGTCATGCCCCGTGATTTTTCCTTTTACCTATTTTCCACATTAAAACGTCTGGTGCCACTACTATTTGTTTTCTCTTCTGAGTGTGTGTTGAATTTTCGTGATACTCTAAGATGGTAATATATTACTCTCGAATCTTTTTGCACACATTAAATGTATTTTATTTTTTAAAATAAAATTGGAGAAATTTTTAATGCGGTATGAAAAATTTTGGGTGGAATATGTAAAAAATAAATTTGTGTTACCAGAGTGGTTTCGAGCAATCTCTTCGGATTCTTCCAGCTTTAAAAATGTGATATGGTTAACACGTCACAATGAAAAAAAAAATGATGGGAGTATCCTAAAGAATTTAAAAAATATAGTGTGCCAATTTATTTAATAATTTTTTTATTTATTATATATAAATAATTTAAATTTTTGTTATATATTTAACAAAATTATTTTTTAGTTTGTTTAATAAATAAAATTATTCAATTTGTCATATAGATGTCCTTTAAATACTATGTGTCAATTTTCTTAGAGTTATTTTGTATTAGATATGGTGACATTTTGCATTTAGGCAGCCCATTTTAATTCCTTCAAAATCATATGTATAAAACTTTAACCATGCACCAATAACAAAAATAAATAAATAAATAAATAAAATATTATTTATTGCAAAAGCGTAATTTTAGGGAGCATGTGAAACTATCATATTGACAGTTGGTCATAGAGGTTCTATTAGAAGCTGTAACTATGGTAGCTGGCCACAAAGGCAATAATTGGTTACTACAATGACAATTGTTGGTCAGAAATAATATATTTGATGACTATAATATCATCAATTGGCAATATAAGTTGTAGTTAGGCATGAAGTCGTAGTTGAAAGTTGTAACAGTAGTAGTTGGTCACAAAAGATGTAGTTGTAATAGTAGTAGTTCCCCACCAAAAATAAACTCTTTTTACACTAAAATGCTTAATATTTTCTCGTGAATATAAACATAAAATGCTTCCACTTCTTTATACAAAATTAATATTCAATCATCAGCCAGTCTTATCAAATTCAGCCTCTAGTCGAAGAAGGATCAGCTCAACTAAGTAGCATCTAGTTTGGTAAATTCTAGTCCTGCTTGAGGATCAAATTGGGTCATTGGGACTTACGATTTTGCCAGATCAAATTGGGCCATTGGGACTTACGATTTTGCCCTATACATAAGTTGGCCCATTTAAGAGCATGGAATTTTAAATTTAGATTTTTTTTGCCTTAAAAATAATTTTAAATTTTCAGAATAATTAGGCATTTTGAGGTCATTTGCATGCTTCTAGGAGCATGCGCAATATAAATTGACATTACTTTCCAGCCCATGCAACATTCTTGGACCGTGTTATCAATCAATCATTGAGTTGGTCCGGGCACATGTTGAGTCATATTTTTGGCCCTTGTGTACACTTACACTACACATTTGCATAAATTTCAAGATGTTTCTATAAAGTTCAAGTAATTCATTAGGTAAGTTAGTTGAACACGAATAACTTTTTGTAGCTCAATTTGTAAATGAGCTGAACACGAACAAAATTTATTCGTTCTTTCAGCTCATTTTTTGCTCGAATTAATTAAATAATTATATATAATTTTTTACTATTATTTTAACAAACTTAATTAATGATAAAACTTTATAGTAATTAAAAAATTTATAGATTTCATTAGCAAAAAAACTACACAATATGTTTACTAATACTCTGTTCATTTAAAATGACCCATTACTTAATAACATTAACATACACTCCAGGCCACACAAAAACATCTTCATAACTATGCAAATCATTCACACAGACATAGCAGCATTCATAGTAGCACGAAATTTGAGGATCTGCTGTATGCCGTTAACCCACAACTGTTTCTCACATTTGTTTTTGCATTCAAATTCAAACAATCTCTCTGGAGTTCTGATTCCAAAATAGCCCTTCACACTGCCTCCATCAACTTCCCTTCCTGGCCATGCTTGGATATCTGAACAAACTTCCACAACTAAACCTGCAAGATCAAAACAATCTTATTCCTCCTGCAGAACTATTTCTGATTTCTAATACAAGTTTATAGTTTTATTAGCAAAGTTTATAAATTTACCCTTCTTTTTCACAAATGTCCCGGCCATGTGTGTGCTCTTCATTTTCAGAACCACCTGCGTTTTTAAGCTGCTATTAATTTCAGACAAGATTAAAAATAGGTATAATGTCAATCTGCTTTCTTCTTACCTTCCAGTTTGAATTGATGTACACACAAACTTGTTTCCAGTGAAGATCACCTGCTATGAGATTCTTACAATCATCAAACAAATTAACAATTATTTCGTATTGCTAAGTAGTGTTAAGCGAATGGGCGTGTTTAGCTTGTTAACTTGTTAAGCCGAGCACAAATTGCTCATGAACTTAAAATCTAATTAAAATTTATATAAAAATCATATATAAACACATACTACAATACATTAATTCAAATATGCATATATAATATACCAGCTTAATTATAAAAGTTTATTAAACAAAATAAATTAGCTTACTGTTGGATAAATAATTAAACAATTAATTAACTCAAGTGTATTTCTGAAAAATGTAACTTTTAATTTTTTAAAAGAAAAAAACCATGCCTTTTCTTGTCCTCTTGAGAAGCTCTCCTCCTCTGGAAACAAAATCCTGAGCTGATAAACAGCCCTCTGCTCCACCATGCTCTCTTCCAAACAACGTTCCATTTGACTCCTTCTGCAACCTTGCACTCAATATAGCTGCCGCTCTCAATGCTGCATATATAAAACTAATTAAACTCAGAAAATAAATTTCATCATCATCAATCTGATCTCATAACTCTCTGCTTCTTCTTTCACCTGTAGCAGCACCTGCTGTCAACGCCATTATATCACCAGTTGTTTGTGCGTTTACAGCAGAGCGAATGACGGCTAAAATCTGCTCGCGAGTAGCGCCAATGGATTGAGCCATGTCGACGCAGTGGGAAGCTACTAAGGCTGCTGCGGAGGCTATGGCTGTACTTGTTTTGCAGGAGGTGTTTGATTTGGATGAAAGTGATTCGGGAGTGAAGATGGAGCCTGCGGTTGTGGACGCAACTGCTGCAGCTACTCCTGCGACTGAAGTGGCTGCGTAGATTTGTGCGCTTTTTGATCTGACTTCGACCCGTCTTCTCTGTTTATGATCTTTCAGCCATCCTACCATTGTCTTCGATCGTGGGGATACTCTGAGGAACTGAAATTGTGTAAAATTAGGCAGAATAATTATGGAGTTAAATTAGATACAGAGCACAGATTTCCACAGGTTTTATATATATATATATATATAGACATAAGG